ATATATATATATATATATATATTCGTTTATATATATATATACACAAACGAAGACATGTCATATTAGATGGTACTTTCCAGACTAGACATGTGTTTTAAAAAATAATGATAAAAATAAATAGTAAATAATTTCAGTGTATCATTTTGCCCGCATACTTGTAAGCAAAATGACATAAGCCAGTATAAAAAAGCGAAATTCTCTATTCATTGCATAGAATATATGAATGAGTCGGTGATCAGTGAGGTCAATGGTCGCCAACCTTTCTGATCAGTAAATACACAATTTTGAATCCCGCAGATCATTATCATGAATTATTTTAAACGCTATAAACATCTATAGAATAATGATCATAAAAGTTCCATTTTACTTTATCTTGCTTTATTAATATGAAATTCACTTGTTTAATTATAATAAATTAGTGTGAAGTTTGTTGCCGCTTGTTTGAAATAAGTTGATGGATTCTTGGTTCTTTCCCACGAAGGACGACAATCGCACTCACATTATTTATTGTTGATTATTTGTTGATATTATTATTTATTGATAGGTCATTTCGTGTTTGGTTTTAGATTCGAATAAAAAACCAATAAGTGAGAAAAAACAACCGAACATTTTTAATTTCTTTCGTAATACTTCGCGTGACCTTGAGTTAATCAAAGTCAAATTTTCTCTAAGGACCATCAAAATTTTCTCACGGTCCACCTGTTGGAGACTGCTGGCATAAGTCACAAACAGCTGTTTTGGTGTAGCGAGTAAGTCCAACACATTCCATATGACTCCATTTCTTGCACTTTGTACACTGAATCCAAGACTCGTTCGACCGAGATTGAAAATACAAGTCATTACAATTTATGAAAGACAGGTACCAATAGCCGAGTAGATAAAACCACTAAACACTAATAATTGCAGGTTGGCCATATGGAGTTTTTAGATTTTCTTTACGTGTCTAACATCCAAATAGAGTCCAATTTCTATGGGATATGAGAATCCTGGGAGGTCTCTCCTTAGCAGATGGACCATATGTTGCATTGTCCAATAATCCCATAATTTTTTGTTGATTCCTGGACTAGTTCGGTCCACTGCTCTTTCTTTTGTAATCGTTGGGAGACATCTTACATTAGATATAGTTTGAAGATACATAAACGTATTTAAGGGTAAAACGACATTCTGTGTTATTTTCCCCTTATTCCTCTATATCATTTATCCCGCAGGAAGCGGTGTACAAAAAGTTGCAGCACTAGCCAAACACCTAAAGCAACATGCCTTTTTGTTTTTACTTTCTCGGCTGTTATATATAACAGGGGAAAGTATAGCGATCGGTCAAAAAATGACCCTCCCCAGATTTTTACATTTTTGGACTCAGGAAACCTTGAAACGTTGAGAAATGCAAAACGTTGCGATGTTTTAGTAGACGATTTTGTTCACCCTCTTTGAAGGTTAATAACTTCCATACTTTTTTTCAAAAATTTCTGAAATTTTGCAGGGAGGTTTGTTTATTAGTGGGTTTAATGCTATTAAATTTTGGTGAGTAAAGATTGAGGGCGTGGGAGATAGAGTCGTGTGTATCTCCGGTAGTGTCGGACTTAATGACGACTTTACTCGTTATTAGCATTTACAATTTTTTTTATAAAACTCATCCCTAGTTTCAAAATTAAGCTTTTTGCCATTTTATAATAGTTAAAAAAGATTTTTAAATAAAGTATCATACAGATGGCGTCACCAAATGTTGCTGGAAAAGTTAAGCAACTCGTTACTGGTTTTTTTTACCTGATAGTAAATAGGCAGCACCTTTCTAAACAGGTGCCATAGAGACAGCAGCAGAAATTTAGTATTTTATGTATTTTTAAGTCTAGATTAGTACTGTATTATGCTGTACGTACTTACCATGAAAGCAATGCTTATCATCTTTCGGAGATAAGTGAATCGGCCAGATACACGTAAGGAAAGCTAATACACTAAGCGACTTTAAGCTGTATAGATAGTTGCACATCCCCTAATTATTAGGGAATTTGTTTTAATTAATTAAACAAATATTAGTTATACATAATGTCTATACACATATAACCTCAGTAAATATAGGCTGTGTACATAGTTTTTATTTATTGAGCATGAATACCAACTGATAAATGAAAAAATAAATTGATATTAAAAGAATTGTGGTACGAGGTAAATTTCTTTCAGTCTATAAAGTAATACTTTTAGCTTATTTATCATATCTAAGTATTATTAATCTGCTAAATTTTTTAGTCTATAATATTATGGATGGATCTAATAAAAGAAGCAGGCATATAGAGATGGATTGATGACATGAAGAAGTGGTGTGGAGCAAATGTACAGTACAGGAATTGAGAAACTTGGCAATGAATAGAGAAAAATGAAAGGAAATGGTGGAAAAGGCATCATACACTAATGGGCGATGAGCACGGGGTTAATTAATGATGATGATTTAAGACAACTTAGTGTCTAATAAGTAAGATTTAGCCGAGAGATTTGTTTGATCGTTGGAAATCAATTATATTACAAAGAGTAAAAATATCAGTTCAGATCGCATACACATACACATTTAATATTATTCATGCCAATAACGACATTCATTATCTAATTACTTATTTATCATATATTTAAAATGTACACGATAATTAATGTATGATATTCTAGAGATTACAGAGTGAACAGACAACTTCTATATTTTATACATTCGTTATATAATATTTGCAATGAATTAATTTACATTTGTATAAGAATATTTTAACATGAAAAATAAAACACAAACGAAATTTTGTTTCTTTTATTTCAATAATAAAATTTTGCTAAAATGCTTTATCAGCTGTAAAGTTCTTAATGACCGTAAACGCTTTCGTCTCCGTAAGAAATGTACAAAAGAAAGTCCTCTTCATGATATCGTTGATACAGTGAGCCCATGGTTTCGCTGGCTGGAGGAATTACGTTGTTGACGAAAAAGAAAAAAGCATCTTCAGGACGCAAGTTGATTTTTTTTCTTATTATGAAATAAAATTGACTCACTGTCAAATCCGAAGGCACCAAGTATTTCTTTTTGTCCAAATTACCGATTGTCGAATTGGGAGATTTCTCCACAATCACTGGAACCTGATCTGGATAATTCTTTCTGATTTTTTCACCTTCGTTTAAACGCTGCTGGAGAGGAACTTCATTTTTGTATGCGAATGCCATCATTTTGTTTCTTATTAAATTTTTCATATTTTTGAAGACCTTTAATTAAATGATAAGATAACAATTAAAAAACTTTTTTCTATAACAATATATTTTAAGTACCCATAATAATTTACTGTATACATAACAGTTTGCATTGTTAAAAATAATTTGTAATGAATTAGAAATTAACTACTTATTTGTATAAAATAAAGTAACTGATGGCAATATGACAATGCCAAACTTCGTAAAATTTTCCTGGTGGAATTTTCAAAAACTTTTTCTGAACAATGAATGAACTTTGGTTCTTTGGTAATAAGGAAAAAATAATCATTTTATTCATTTGGAATCATTAAAAAACAAAGCTCATTTCCAACAGTATAACTTCGCGTCATATTAAGTTAATATGGCCACCGATTTCCCTTCCTTCTTTAAAGTTAATGGAAATCAAATAATTGTTTATTTAAAATCGTTACAATTTTTTTTCTTTGTTTTTGAAAATCAAAGAGCATCTTTAATTTTTAAACTAAGTAGAGAGCCAAAAAAGGACAAGTGAAATTTTTCTTTCTGCTCGTTCTTTTGTTGTTACTTCAACGTCATAGTCTTCATTGCATTACAAATTCTTGCTCAAACTATTTAAGAACTGTATTTCTTTGCTTTCTTCAGTTTCGGTGGTTTGGTTAAAAGGAAATCTTTGAGGTTGGTTGCTGGCTGAAAGATTGTCTTCCTCTTCAGCAATAATAAACACCTCTATTTTTCTTTTTCTCATTGAACCTATGTAGCTAGTTCTCCATTATCGTGGTTGTCATCCAGTCATTTGCATTAAATTCCCATGTCACTAGCAGCTTTATTTTTAATTAATTTTGCCAAAACATCTGGATAATTTTGATTTTCCTACGACAAATTGTTTCTCAAATTCACCGTTCATATTACATCAGTCTTTCTTCAGACATCTTTCCTTCCGAACTGCTTTAATTAACTGAAGATAGTACACCTGAGATTTAACAATTCGTACTTTTTGCATATTATTTTTGTTAACTTCAGAGTTTAAATTATCCAGCACTTTAATTTTTCATCAAAAGTCAGACAATTATGTTTCTTCCACATCATACTATATACCATATAGCAGTTGCAATCCCAAGACGTTCCAAAATACAGTATATATACAGTCGACCCCCCCTATAACACGGTAGATACGTTCCGTTCTTTATGAAATTGATGTTCTACGAGTCCTTAATTACATGAGCCAATCACAGCCCGGCAAGCATGCAGTTTACAAACTACGGCTGTTTGAAAGGTTTTCTTCCATAAAATTAATCGATTCTAGACTAATTTGACTCAACATTTCCAAAATACGCATATTTTTTTGAGAATAATCCATATAAACTATGCTATAAACCAAAAAATTGTAGGATTACTTACCGAGTGTGCACAGTTCGACGACGCCATTGCTTAAGCTTGTTTTCGTCGTGGAGCGGCGCATCGAACGGGGCGCGCGTGTTTCCTGATAAATTATTTTTCTGCGAAAAATTTGCTGAACTTTGGAGGCATCATTAATATAAATATAATTTGTATGGACGTTAAATAATAAATGGTTTTTAGTAGGTCCGCTGCTCGTTTAAACTCAACGGTTTGTGCAATATCCGCTATTGGTCTAGATTCGACCAATCCTGTCGCGACACGAGTCGGCGATGGCATTNCAAAAACTAAAAACTAACTCTTTAAGTTCTGAAAACTTTCTCCTACTTTGTGGCTAGAGACTAAATTGTTTTTACCCCTCAGTCTACTAGGGGAACTTATACAGCAAAACTAGTCAAGCAACTTTTCCACTGATCGATTTTCTTTTGAACTGATAAGGATGATTTTGACCAATTTCACATTTAAAAAGTTAAATCCAAAATAAGGGTCATTGCATTAATTTTAAAGATGAACATCTTACATATGGTAATCCCTATATGATCACGAGACCAACTATAACATATCATCATGACGCAAGGATATTATAATGGAATGTTCTTATTTATGCTTATATAATTTGATTGGTTACTTTTTAGTTTTATTTCTGTACCTCTTTTATCTTATTTTTTTATGTATTCAAAAATTATTTTATTTAATTTTTCAAAACACATCATTGTTCTATTCAAGCATTCCATCATTGAATATGTGAAGATGATCTCCATTTGCAGATTGAAAATGTTAGTCCAGATGTTTTATTTTAAATTAAATCTTGCTAGAATTCAATTAAGACTCTTTGATAGACATTTTCATTGCTAAATGATTCCAGCTTCCCAATTGACATTGGAACTCCATTTTGGTTTTCGTAAACAAAGACATTTTGAATCTTGCATGTGTTTGCAAAGCATGTCCTTTTTTTTTAATGATGTTTACTATTAAAATTTATGTCTACTCAATAGGTTTATATTTTAGTTTAATAGTTTTTAATGTTTATGTTTTAAGTTTTCCAAGCTACAGTTAGGGGGGGAGCCACTGAAAACTATTAAACTCAAAAGGGACCACAAGTCAAAAATCTCAATAGTGGCAAACCAATTGTGAAAAGAGATAAATCAAAATATTTTCACTGAAAATACAACAGAGGATAGTGGAGAGAGGGACATTGGATATTCAGAAGTACAGAAAGTGTTTGGCCAATATTTTTTTTATTGAAGTGTCAGATAGGAAGGAGAAGAGTGTAATTTAACAGAACACTAGATTTTACATTGTACACATAATGCGAGCAATAGTTGGTGAGCTGATTAAAGTCCAGATACGTATACCGTCATGGTGGCTCATCTCTGATTCCAGCAAACAGTGGTGACGCACGTTCTAACCTAACCTAACCTAATCTAATCATTTGGTTGGTAATAATTATGGTAATTTATTAGAATAGGTTAGGTTAGGTTAGAACGCGCATCCCCACTGTTTCCTTTCTTTTGTTTGCTGGAATCAGAGATGAGCCACCATGACGGTACATGCAACTGGACTTTAACCGGTGAGCCTAAAATAACATTGAGCAATGGGCCAATGGTGTGTATATCCATTTCATCATTGTTCACAAACAAAACTTTGTAGATACAGAAGATTTAGATGTGCATATGTGCATATGCCAACTGCAGTGAATATTCTAATGTGTAACTGGACACAAAATGAGTAATGGAAATTCTGAATTGTGTAATGGAAATCCCATATTTGTGAAGTAATTAATTGTACAGTTTCTGGGTTTTCTAAGTATTTCTTTCTTCTGATTATGTTAAAGTTAAAATATTCACACAAATATTTGATACCATGCCATTCCAGTTTACACAGGTTTTACTGTATATTTTATTTGGCCAACAAAAAGAGCTATGGAAGGAATGTTGGTTGGATTTAACATTGGTATTGAATATATCTCGTTTACAATAATTTTTTTATGCAACCGCAATATCGATATTATCGTTTAAATTATAATCCACAATCACAGCGTTTTCATTTGTTTCAATTTTCAAAACTTACTTGCAAAGCGGTCCAATTTTTTAAGACGTTTTTAATTCCAAAATGAAACACGCTTTCATTTGAGGTAGCCATATTTTCGAAAACGCCATCTGGCTATATATTATCAAAAACATTTACGAAAATTTTATNATGAAAATGTACTAACTTTTTTTGTATGTAACTTTTATTGTAATCCCCCTGTAACAAGATTTTTTCTTAATACAATAAAACATTTGTATAATAATAATAATATAATGTAAGACTTATACTTGACTATAGTATAATCATCATTATATAGGCCTCGATTTATTCATTTTATCTTTTAGTTTCGAATGTAGGAGTGGCGATATATCTGAAATTTTAATGTTCAGTAACAGGCTTATATTGAAAACAACACGAAATAATGTTCAATTAAAATTTAAGTTATAATTAGTATTAACTAATTGTGTAATTAATTTAAATATTTTAATTTAAGTAATTAATTTTAATATTTAGATGTCTTCGTGATAAAGGTATTCGTCAATGGAAGGCGAGTAACTTGAAAATCTTGAAATATTATAAAGACAAAATAAAGAGAAGATCGAAACGAACTCAATAGTTTGGTTTTTAAAACACTAATGTGTTAATTTTAAAAAATTGATTCATCAATAAAGCAGTAATTGCGCATAAAACCAACGTTATCAATTTATCTCAAAGAATTACTAATTGTTGATTTGATTTTAGTTTTATTTTTAATTTTAGTTTCGGTTTCTGTTTTGAGGTAAAGATCAGCGTTTTAATTATTGTTTTATTATTTTTAAATTTATTTTTAAGTTTAATTTATTTAGTATTAATTTAGTATTTAATAATTTTTAATAATAATAATAATAATAAATTTTTATTGATATTCNAGCAAACAGTGGTGACGCACGTTCTAACCTAACCTAACCTAATCTAATCATTTGGTTGGTAATAATTATGGTAATTTATTAGAATAGGTTAGGTTAGGTTAGAACGCGCATCCCCACTGTTTCCTTTCTTTTGTTTGCTGGAATCAGAGATGAGCCACCATGACGGTACATGCAACTGGACTTTAACCGGTGAGCCTAAAATAACATTGAGCAATGGGCCAATGGTGTGTATATCCATTTCATCATTGTTCACAAACAAAACTTTGTAGATACAGATAATTTAGATGTGCATATGTGCATATGCCAACTGCAGTGAATATTCTAATGTGTAACTGGACACAAAATGTGTAATGGAAATTCTGAATTGTGTAATGGAAATCCCATATTTGTGAAGTAATTAATTGTACAGTTTCTGGGTTTTCTAAGTATTTCTTTCTTCTGATTATGTTAAAGTTAAAATATTTACACAAATATTTGATACCATGCCATTCCAGTTTACACAGGTTTTACTGTATATTTTATTTGGCCAACAAAAAGAGCTATGGAAGGAATGTTGGTTGGATTTATCATTGGTATTGAATATATCTCGTTTACAATAATTTTTTTATGCAACCGCAATATCGATATTATCGTTTAAATTATAATCCACAATCACAGCGTTTTCATTTGTTTCAATTTTCAAAACTTACTTGCAAAGCGGTCCAATTTTTTAAGACGTTTTTAATTCCAAAATGAAACACGCTTTCATTTGAGGTAGCCATATTTTCGAAAACGCCATCTGGCTATATATTATCAAAAACATTTACGAAAATTTTATTTATAAATAAAAATAAGTCATATACCAAATATCAAACTGCTTAATCTGTACAAAATAATGATATTTTTTCATATTAATATTAATAAATTATAATCCGTATTAAATAATAATAGCTTTTCTTTTTATTCACCCTGTGGGTACTAAAAGGGTCTTTTATTCAGGCCCGGTGTGGGCTCGGCCAAGCCCGCAAAGACGGCCGTGTGACGGGCCTGATATATCCGGGACAGACTATTCCTGAAAATTTCCTGGAGTTTTTTCGACCCCCTCGTCAGTGGTATCGGGATTAATATGGAGGTTATTGCATAATGCGCTTATCCTCCGAGGAGCCGGCCAAAGCGTTTTGCTTGACCATACAAAATTACTCGCGAAGAGCCGGGGAAATGCCTTCCGGGAAGTTTTTTAAGGGTAACTGGTCCCTACTTGGGCGTTAGAGACATAGAGAAAACTCGGAAAACTTCACGTGGCCAACCCGTCCTGGCGAGGCGCGAAACCACAACCGAACTAGCATTCTAGGAACGCAACCGCTTGGTCACCGGTGAGCTTTTCGACCCCCAGAGCAATAGACGGACGCCTTTATCGCTTCGGTCACCTAACCGCAATTCTATTGCCAGAACTCGGGAACGAATATCTTAATTTTACCTTAATGCACCCAGGTGAAAATAGATAAATTAAAAGAAAAAATATATATATCCAATATATTNATATATCCGGGACAGACTATTCCTGAAAATTTCCTGGAGTTTTTTCGACCCCCTCGTCAGTGGTATCGGGATTAATATGGAGATTATTGCATAATGCGCTTATCCTCCTAGAAGCCGGCCAAAGCGTTTTGCTTGACCATACGAAATTACTCGCGAAGAGCCGGGGAAATGCCTTCCGGAAAGTCTTTTAAGGGTAACTGGTCCCTACTTGGGCGTTAGAGACATAGCGAAAAATCGGAAAACTTTACGTGGCCAACCCGTCCTGGCGAGGCGCAAAACCACGACCGAACTAGCGTTCAGGGAACGAAACCGCTTGGTCACTGGTGAGCCTTTTCGACCCCCAGAGCAATAGACGGACGCCTTTATCGCTTCGGTCACCTAACCGCAATTCTATTGCCAGAACTCGGGAACGAATATCTTAATTTTACCTTAATGCACCCAGGTGAAAATAGATAAATTAAAAGAAAAAATATATATATCAAATATATTTTGATACAGCATTTTTATAATTTGTATGAAATTTATTTTTAAATGAACTTTAAGTAGTGTTTAGTTCTTTCATAGTGAGTAACTTGATAAAAAATTAAAAATATTAAGCTTACGAACAAATCATTGTGTGCTTGTTCCGTAGTGTTCAGAATTATCCATGCCTTTTCTGCAATAATTACGTGTTTATCTTTATCTGTTTTGAAAACTATAGAATTATTGTTTAGATAAAATGTTTGAGTTTTCTGGATATTATGTTTATAACGACTTTCGTAATGCAGTAGGTGATCTGTTAACGAACATAATCCGTTCCAAGACTTTGTTCGCTATCCGAATTGTTCGTTAACCGATTATCGATTTACCATAGGTTTTAATGGGAATTTAATTAATTCGTTTTGGAGATCCCCAAAAATGAAAAAATATATACTTTCTTACTAAGTTTATTTATATATAATAATAAAAATACATACATACACAGTCTTGCATTATTATTAGTCATGTTTTTTCCGTTTGTAGGTGGTTAAAGAATCTGTCTAATGTCGATTGCTTTTCTCTCTTCTTCAGGGTTTTTCAGAAATAATTAATAGCGTTGTAATTGTAGAGATCCACAAGCCTATTAACCTCTAAGGCCATTCTAAGACCGTTGTTTTGACATCCTCCCACTTCTTCAAAAGATGTCTAATAGCAGATATCGGCATTAATCCTCTTTTTCAGAAAATAAAATATCTTGCATAGTTTCTTGGCATTCTTCTGCCGTCAGATCAGTTTCAGATTCCATTATGAACTCTTCGATGTTCTTTATTTCTCAGATGTGAATTTTGTTTTATTTCTTAAGCTGCTTGAGTCTTCTTGATAATACTGTATCTTTCTTAGATAAAATTGAACTGCAGCCTAATGTAGACCTGTTCAAGTCATACTGCCCAGCAACATTAGGCATCTTCTGCCCACTCTCTACCTTTGCTATTATACTCTCATCTTTCGAAAAGAAAAACAGACGAGACTTAACGAGTGCCTACCGGACAGTCTCGTGAATACATAAAAGAATTGTTTTGTCAGAAATATAAAAGACTGGAATTACAAGGGAGAGTTTTAAATTAAATTAAAGTTCGAAGGAATACTATCCGATCGGTATATACCGGCTTGAGCGTCAATGTCGACGTCTCCCACACTCCGAAAAGTTTCGAATTGTTGCCCGAAGACAAAAGAAGACCAATCGGTATTCATTATTTTACGTTACTTCTTCTGTTTGTTCTGTGGGGTGTTCGTTATCCGATCATGTGTTCGCTGTCCGAACATAAAAATCTTTCGCGAAAGTGTTCGTTATCCGATCATTTGTTCNCTATTCCCACTATTCCGTGCTCATTTCATTCGGTCAGAATCGTAGGTGGACGAAAATATGAAATAAAATGATTCAAATTCTTACAAGATATTATTATTATTTATTGTCAAATTTTGCCGCCTCCTAAAACGTAACTTTGCCGCCCCCCTACGCTACGCTACTGACTACATCTGATATTGAGATAAATTTATACTGTATAAACAAATGCATTTATAAATGCATTTGTTACATATACAATATACAGTATAACAAATGCATATATCTTTATCGTATATTGTCGAGATTATAAATAATTTTAAGTAATATTTATAAACTAATATTAACTAATAAGAAATATAAATTTATACTTACACTTTTATTTAAAAAGTCAAAGAAATTGTTGTTTATTAAACTGAATCTAAAAGACAAAATAAATTTAATAAAGGTTATAAAATTGCAAATAATATAATAAAACTATTTTACTGAAATCATTTATATTTGAGCAGCTTATTTCCAAATGGACATAAAAGCTAAATTTCTGATATTTGAATTAATACTTACTCCAAAAATACGCAATGCTTATTTACATCAATCCCCTGAATTGTTAAGGTGCAATACACAGCGCGGAATAGCGAAGGTTATGCTATTTTATTAATTATATACAGTTTGTTCTGCAACTCTACGGAAAACAAAAATGTATCACTCTTTTATTCAAGGGTTGAGATCATAGCATTACTCAACGTTCTAATAAACACATTACAATGCGTCACACTTCGTTGTGACGCATTGTAATGATTATCTGCATACCCATCCAGATCTGCGTTACGTAATTTATGGACAGTTCCTGTGCATATAAAACAATCCCCCATGAAAAATACCTGGAGTTGCTTGCAGAATTCGATTCATGATATCCCAGAGCACTAGATGAAGCCTTAACCGCCTCGGCCAACCGGTCCTGCTATCACTTACGCTCTGAAAAATCTAGTATAATATGTGGCACCGGATGGCCAGATGGCCGAGGCTACTAAGTCATCAGTCTACCACTCTGGAAAACCCGAAATCGAATCGGGACGGTCAAAAATTCCAGGAGTTTTTTCGGGTTCAGTCCTTCACCGCCCGGCCACCCCATTGTGGGTTGCCAAAACCACGAAAGACTTGGAATTGAAAAAAAAAGTTGTTTTAGTGATCACAGGCCAAAAAGAATAAAACACAAACTTAGGTGTTTTGTGGAATGAATGTAAATATATGAAATAACAAAAGTATGAATCTAAGCTAGATTTTCTAAGAGAAAATAGAATTGAATATTAAGTTTGATATCGGAATCTAACCTAATCATTAAAAAATTTAAAATATTTAGATGAAGCAGAACAAAATCAAAAACATTATCTATAGGTAAGAGCTTATTTCGATTTACCTTTAACAATTCAACCACTTTTAACGATCTAATCTGATGTCATTCACTTCAGATTAAATCACTGTAATCCTAAGTGAATGACATGAGATTGATAAATGCCATTATCGGTCTTATATTGATAAATTCTTGTGAAGATATTTTAGAAGGTATTACCTAGAAAATACAATACTTATAAATTTTTAAAGTTACTAAAAGTATTAATAAAGTTATTTTGAAAGAATGCATAGATATTAGAACACGAAAGAAAATAGATGGGCATTATCGCCTAATCATCTGTAAGCTGTCTACATATGACATCACAGCAGTGACTTAATCTAGATTAGTTTTTACCATATAGTCAGTATGGTAAAAAAATAATCTAGTTAATTCATGTTGACTTATACAGTCAGTATAAGTCAACGTGAATTAACTAGATTATTAATGTGTGCTAGTACTCATGAAAATTGCTTGTGTGATTTATTATTATTTTATACTCTTTTATCTCTTTTTCATCTAACTATTTCTGTTCTATGAGCACTGAGAGGGCCTTTTAACAAGCCCATCGTATGTTCCACTAGGCCCACAACAGAAAGGCCAGACAGTGAGGGACTAGATCGACACACCTCACATGAAAAATTCCTGAGGTTTGTCGACCGCCCGGGTTTGATCCCGGGCAATGGCGGATAAAAGGGGAGGGCTAAAGTTCCTGTAGCATGCTTATTGACATAAAAAAATTAAAATTTATTTGTTCGAATTTCGAAATGTTATTTTTAAACATATTTACAATGGCAAATGTAGTTTATCGGACTTCGGTTACTTCCGGACCCACTATTGATCCCGAGTCTTTCAAGAGCGGTAGGCTGATGTTTTAACTGTCTCGGTTATCTGGCCGGCCGAACTTTGCATTGCAACACTACGAAAGTTTCGCGCCGGTTGGAATCGGTTAGAGCATATTGAACACCAGATAGTGATCTATTCACACAATTTGTGCGACACTGACACTAGTTGCCAAGCATCGCATAGTCAGTCTGGAGACACAAATCTGGGCACTATCTGAACGATGATACTTCAGTGTACTGTGCACAGTAGATCTAAACATTAAAGTGTCGTCGTGTAGACTCACTTTAATAAATAAAATTTGATACAATATTACAGACACGTTTCTGATATAAGAATACGTGCAATAAATTATAAATTAAAAACAGAAAATCACGAATGCAAACAAACAAAATTACCGTTTTTATTATTTTGTATAAATACAATTAGTCGGCATGTCGATGACAGCTTCATAATACTGGCCGATCGGAATTAAAGTATCCCTATTTAATGCTATATGGAAAGATATTTAACAATCCAAATGCAACCAAATCTGGTATATTGACATTTCGTAAATGATGCTGTCATTCAAATTTGCAATATAGTTTCGATAAACCACATTTTTAAATGTCCCAAAGCCAAAAATCACGCAGATTAAGTCAAGAGTGTCATAATGATGATTTTTGGTACGCTGTTGTACAGAAATGTCTTTCGCATCCTGAAATGGCAACATTTCAGGATGCGAATTAACCGATTTAGTTGCATTTGGACTGCAAAATATCTCTATACAATGTTGAATAAGGGTGTTTTAATTACGATCACCCGTTAATTATTAATCACTTTCCATTTTGGAATAGTTAAAGTTCGAAAAATTTTATACATGAAAGCAAAAAAAGTACATATGAAATCTTAATTGTAGCTCTTTCAGTTTCCGAAAATTCAGAAATTTTACTTTATGTTAAGAGAAAGTAAAATTTAATACGAAATTATGCAAGTAAATTATGTCCAGCATAATATTTAAAAATCTTCATACTTTTCGTTTCTGAGAAATTTTACAAAGAAATAACTACAAAGAACAAATAGAATAAAAAACTACAGTATTTTGTAAATTTTTAAAAACAGTATTAAATCGGAAAAATGCTATTTTAACTGATCCAAGCAAAAAGTAATTTGAGATAATTACTCATGTTTTTCATGAAAACGTAAATCTGAAATCTATCTATCTATACTACAAAATAAATATATGCTACTAGGTTATTTTAATCAAATATAATAAATTAACATACCTGAAAAAATTACAGCCAAACTTTTATAAGTATATTCACTCATATCAAATGAATAGAGCCCATAAACCGGGAAAAAATGTTATACTAGAGAATTCATTATCTCATTTTAGATATATTGTTTAATCAGTTCATACGTCAAACGTCGAATGAGATAAATGTAAAATATCCAGATAGGAAGACGAAGAAAGAGAATCGCTAAGGTAAGAGTTTATTTTTTAGAATTACAGTAATCCTGTATCCGATATTCAGATTAACAATCATTGATATAAATATAATAATATAATGTGGGGGGGGCGCTTCAGTCAGCCGAGGCTGTTGGCGTATTTTTCTGTTCACCTCAAAAACAGACAAAGAACTTATTCTACAGATTAAAACTAGTTAATTTTTTTGATTTTGTGTTGTGCAATATTATTATCAGTGTTGGTTAGTCGAATAATATAATTAATATGCAACGTTCGCCGGTGAAACGAGGTCGACCACCACTTCAAAGATCAAAGTCAGTTAACAGGAAAGAATCTGCTTCGACTGCTAATACCAAGCTAATTACAGACTACAATACTCATGTCGAAAGAATCTCTCCAGAAACATCCTCGACAAATATAAATTTGAACTCTGAAACGACACTTCCAAGGACGCAACTATCAGGTGAGTCATTGGATATGCTATCCTCTTCACCAGGAAAATTGGAAAATATATCCGATATAGCGAGCATGACACTATGGAACAAAATTTCAGAACTAATTAACAATTCTAACACTAGAATATTGAACCAAATGACCATTATTAAAGAAGATCTGGACCAGATACGCAATAATATTCAAGAATCTAAAAATCAAAATCTAAAAATGAATAATAAAATAATAAATCTTGAACAACAAATTAATACTTTAAAAATAGAAAACGAAAATATGCAATACCAAATGGACAATATGATTAATATGCAACACCGCAATAATATAATGTTATTTAGATATCCAAGTAAAAAAAGTCCTACTAAACTAGAAGTGTTCAACTTAATAAATGAAACATTAGATTTACAGGAAATCACAATAGACGATATTATAGCAATTATTCCGATAACAAAAACACAGAATCCAACAATTAAAATAATCATTAAAAATATCCAAATAAGAGATTATATTTACTCAAAATTTGTAAAAATGAAACAACAAAATATACAGAACGAATGGAAAGACACTCAAATAGCACAAGACCTCACTAAAAGATCTAGAACAAGACGGAAACAACTAATTCCTTTTCTAAGTGAATTAAGAAAAACTGGCAAAGATCCTAAACTTCGAGGCGATACCATACTGTTGGATAAATTTTCTTTGACATATAGTTATGTATTGGAAGGGTTGGTACTCCAGGATTCTTTCAAACCATTTTTTATTACAGAGAATTCTACTCAATGACAAAGGTCCAATTTAACTACTCCTATACAAGAACTAAATCTTAAGAAGACCCAACTACTAAATTCTTTACCCAATAAATATAATAATAACGGAAAATTTCCTGATTCTACCTCTAACTATATAATCTCCCAGCTTGTGATAACTAATTGGAACTCTCAAGGGCTAAAGAGTAAAATTAATACAAAAGACTTTATATTGATGATAAAGAAATCTGATATAATAGCAATCACAGAAACTTGGATGACAACTTTTCCTACATCATTGATCAAACAGAATGAAAATTATCATATAATTACGCAAATGGCTCAAAAACCAAAGGGACCGGGACGTCCTTTTGGGGGTTTAGGTTTAATAATTAAAAAATCATTGGGAGAAATTATATATACCCAGAAAAATAACAATTATATTATTGCTCATCTACGAACTAACAGTCTAGAAACAAACAATTTGAAAAATAAAATTTTGGTTATTATGTTAGTATATGTTCCTCCCGAACAACAGAATATTCTTTTTGAAATATTTCGGATATATGAATCTTTAAGAGTAGCTTTTCCTTTTATTATAATAACTGGAGATTTCAACGCCCGTATAGCACAAAACATGGATTTAATATATAAAGGACCAAATGAAAAAATCCAAAATTTTCGCAAATCCAAAGATATTAAATCAAATAAAATGGGACTTGACTTAATAAAAATGACTACTCAAGCACAACTATATATTCTCAATGGTAGAATAGAAAACGATTATCCATCCGAGTTTACGTGTATAACCACTTCAGGAAGCTCTACAATAGACTTGTTTATATGCTCAGAACTTCTAGTTGATTTATGCTCCAAAATCCAAGTACTAAATTGTGACTTATCGGATCATTTTCCTATTAATTCTTACTTTACACTAATAGATGTGGTTCATGAAAATTATATTATACCAATTTATCAGCTAAATATCTATCACTACCAACGTTTTCAAGAGNAAGTGGTATAAATCCATTTTTTCTTCTTTCGAGATATTTAAACATTCGCATTTTAGTTGATTCAAAAATATAAATAGAGTAGAGCGTCGTTTATCCGAATCAATTGGGGACTGGGGTTGTTCGGATAACTTATTTTCGGATAATCGATTATGTGCGAAAAAATTATTAACCTATCCTGTGTTGAAATTTTTCTCCGTTGCGTGTAGCTTCGCGTTGAATTTTCGTCGATGTTCAGCCTAACGTAAACTTCTTAAAATAATAATCGTGGCTATTGTATCGTTAAAAATTATTTCTTTATTTTTTACAAACGAAATAAATATATTGAAAAAAATAAAAACCAAAAAATATATACTTTAAAAGTTGATCTAGTATCAAAAACGTTCGATTAAGCACGACACAGTCCTCAGAAAAACACCACACAAAAATGCCAGGGCTGCCAGCTAAACCACACACACCAACAAAAAAAAAATATTGGAGTAGTCCAAGATATATCCAAAGATTGCAGCGCCCAGCACTAGCGAAAATTTAAATTTGCCGACTAAAATGCTTTCGGTTAACCGACGTTTCGGATAACCGGCTTTCGGATAAACGACGCTCTACTGTAAAGTGTACTAAGTTTGACAATATTTTTATGACTTTAGAAATATGTAAGTTGATTGCATAAATACTTCTATGTGAATTTAACTAAACTAATATATTTTTTCTGGGCCATAAATGGACTTACACCACTTTCATAATTATTGAACTGTAAAATTCATTAAATTTCTATTATGTAGAACTCAATTTCACTTGAAACACATTGTGTTTTATTCTGATTTTGTTCATATATAATAACAAGAAATAAAATAGTATTGTTTATTCTGAACATTAAAATATTTACTTATTGTTAAACTATTTTTGATAAGTTTATCATTATTATGACACACTGCTTTTCATTTAGATTCATTACATGGATTTTTTCCATTCCATGAAATTGTACATTTGTTGGTAATATTTATAGTTTTACTCCTCTGTCGTAAGGGGCTGTCTTTAAATGATGTCCACACTGAAAGGGGGAGGGGGTTAACCAGAACTTACCCTTAGGAGCAAAAAAGTAAAAGGAACCATACCTTCATGTGTGACCCTTCGCGAGATATAGCCCCCGAAATCAGCCTACTTCCAGGCGCAATCAGGAGTCACGCCTCATTCTCCACGAAGACTATCGCGTTTAACTATTCTTCCTAAGTGACTATGATGGTTTTGAGTAGTCCACTTGATTGACTATTCGTGGAGTACTTGATTTTATATAGTTTTAGGGGCTCGTCCCTAAGCATGTGCTGAAGTGCGTTCGAAAGCGAGCACCGAAGCGCCAGACTACATGCTCCGCATCCATCAAGGCGAACAATATTGTTTTCAAGGCCAAGTTTTGGTTAACATACGACAAAGTCGTGCAGAACAATGGACAAATATAGTTCACTAGTTGATTTGTAATTTTCAAATTGCAGTTTTAAACTTGCAGATCTACTGGCATTCGTTTGTCTGTCTCTGTCTGTCCTGTCCTGCCTTAATCTCGAGAACGGAGTTAGATACTGTAGACCTGCATGACTCAACTTTTATCAAAAAAAGCATGATTTACAGGCACTACTAAAATGGAGAGCATTGCAGCCCAGCATTATGACGATGTCACAAGTTATATTCGTTTCTTTTATATTTGCAGAATAACTAGAAGTGAATTTTCTGTTGTTTATTGATAATTAGGATTAGAAAAAAGATGAAAAGGGGGCATGTGCGCCAATGTATCGGCGTCCTTGGTCACGTGGCTAATAGTACTACCATGCGGTCTATTATTAAAATCTTTTGCGATGTACGATAATTTGTATCCTAAATTAATCGTATTAACGTGTATATTTCATAAAAATATAAAACTTCAAATATATTTGCAATGTTTACAAAACGTTTAAATTTTGTCACGTGACTGTTATTACATGCTTCACTTTCATTATCGTTAGTACGCAAAATGTTAAAAATTTTGAATTTATTGCGTTGTTTTACTTTATGCATTAAAATTATTTTACGTTCACTAAAGTTTACCTATTGAATAAAACATTGGAGGTCGCAAGTGCCTACTAGTACATTTGGTCTACTATATCCAAGAAGTAGTTTAGTGCTATGTTAAATAATTATGCAAATTATTTTCTTTGCTTTTAAAATATCTAAAATTTATGCAAATAGTGTATTATTTTATGCAAAAATTTTTTGTGATCACCCGAAAAGACAACCGATGATTCGAAGCAGTTAAAATGCAATGCTATGGCTACAATACACGGTAGATATTGTGGAAAATTTTTATCATTGTTTTATTGTGAAAGCGCCGAATCCTAAAATAAAAGGTCGGCGTTTTGATCATTTTAAACTTTGTGTAAATTTTTTAATAATCTATAATTGTTGTTTTAACGAAGATTTAGTTATATCTTCAAGCCAATTTGCTGTTACTTCTGAGTTGGACTGTTAAAAGGATAAAAAGAATAGACTCTAAAAAGTTATATTTTTTTACGTGTCTTCTAAAGCTTCAAAGGATAAAAACGACAGTTTCTCAATAACGATAATATTAGTTCTTGTATTAAAATTTGTTTAAATGCAAAATGAAATAACAGCAATATTATACAAATTTATTTATTATACTTTATCATTTTAATTTTGATTTGTACATTTGTATTGCAATAAAAAGCAATTTCTTTAATTTTTTTCTACTAAATC